ACAAGGAAAGAAAGCATACACATAATCTTAATAAAACCTCTCATACATAAATGCACCCTTGCTAGGGGTCATTAGATATGTCTAAGACAAAGGCGAAAAAGACCCAAGTGCGCTTGTAATCTTCCACAAGGAAGGCACAAGTGTGCTAAGGTATATGGCGACCTTCGTTATACTTGTCAAACCCATGATGGGGAAGGAACCATTATACCGAAGTGGGTATGGCACTCCGCAAAGCGTAAGCTTTAAGGATGATACCTAAGTCATTGTCTTTGGAGATACTAATCCCACACCTATCATTCATCTCCATTAATAAAATTCATTTCGGCATCTTAGAAAGTGGCTGGTCTTCCCATAATCTGAACCCGTATGCAGAAGTCTAAGGCAATGGACCACCTGGAGGAACAGAACCGCAAAATCACTGCTAAGGTTCGCACTCTGAGAGAACAAATGGCGCAGATGATGGAGGTCATGCGCCAGCAAAACCTCAATAAAGGGGAAACTCATGGCGACTGCACCTCTCGCCATGAGGAGGAAGAGGAAGAGGAATTCTTTTACAAACAGAAAGCCCTCGTACAGTCCGATGCAAGGGCAATGCACATCCACACCCCTGAAGTGTCCAAACATCATATATCTGCCTTGGAGGAAAGGCTGAAGGCAGTCGAAGGGCACAGTTTTGACGTTAAGGAGGTAGCTGACATGTGTCTTGTCAAGAACATCCAGTTTCCTCTGAAATTCAAAGTCCTAGACTTCCCCAAGTACGCAGGGCTAACTTGCCCCAAAAATCATCTTACGATGTATTGTCGTAAGATGGTTGCACATGCTGAGAATGAGAAACTTCTGATTCATTGCTTCCAGGAGAGCCTAGCTGAGTCAACTCTCAACTGGTATATGCAATTGGAGAAGGGGCAAGTCCAAACCTGGAAGCAGCTGGCCAACGCCTTTCTCCATCGATACCGATACAATATTGACCTGACCCCGGATAGGTCGAACCTTAGAACTTTGAGCAAAAAGAACGACGAGCCTTTCAAGGCGTATGCCCAGCAGTGGAGGGAGATGGCTTCCCAAGTAGAACCCCCACTAACAGACAAAGAAACGGTGGCCATATTCATTGATTCATTGACAGACCCTTATTATGATAAGGCAATAGCAAGCACATCCAACCTCTTCTCAGACATGGTCACCATCAGGGAATGGGTGGAGCAAGGGTTAAGAAGTGGGATAATAGCGCAATCTTCCTCCTCCAATGTTTCATTCAAAAAGCCCTTTAACAAAAAGAAGGAGGATGTTGTGCATGCAATCAATCTCGCTACTCCTTCCTCCGCTCCGCAGACGGTCCGGCAGCCACGTAAAAAGGAAAGGAAGTTCACCCCTCTTTCGACCTCCTACAAGAAATTGCTAGAGGTCAAGCTCCTGGTTCGGGTTCCTCCTAAGAAGGTGGAGCCTCCCTACCCCGAGTGGTATAAAACTAATGAAAAATGTGATTACCACTTGGATGCTCCCGGGCATTTAACGGAGAATTGCTTGACCTTGAAATATAAGGTCCAAGAGCTAATAGACGCCGGGTGGATAATTTTTTACACTCCTACCTCCGAGGTAGATATCAAACCTCTGTCGAAACCAGAGTGAGAGGAGGGTCGGATTAGGAGGATCAGCTATTAGGGCTCTTTTTTTTTTCTTTAAGCTTTTCTTGTATTTCCTACGGTCCCCGCCCGTGGCTGTAGGATCATCGACTAAAAGGGCACATGTACATATTTTTTTCTTAATACATGAGGCATTTTCTGTCATATCATATTCATTCTCATTCTTTTCCCTCTTATATTTATTATTATTCCAAAATAATTAAATAATAAAATCTATGCCTAAAACAGAACCTAAAAAACAATCATGTTTGTGACTGATGAACCTCTATGGGATCCGGAAGCTGAAGGCGAAGGGTCGAATCCGATAGTGAGCAGGGACCGTTTCCCTGACATGCAGAGAATGCTGGAAAAAGAAGCTCGCTCCATACAGCCTTATCAGGAAGAAACATAAACTATCAACTTGGGACAAGGAGATGATAAGAAAGAAATAAACATCGACACCCAGATTGGCAGTGACATCAGGGAGGGACTAATACACCTTTTAAAAGAATATGTGGACGTATTTGCTTGGTCTTATCACAACATGCCCGGACTCGACACGAGCATAGTAGAGCACCAGTTGCCCTTGAAAGAGGGATTTTGACCCATAAAACAGAAGCTCAGAAGAATAAAGTCGGATTGGTCCTTAATGATCAAGGAGGAAGTGCAAAGATAGTTGGACGCCAACTTTCTAATCATGTCCAAGTACCCCGAATGGTTGGCAAACATAGTGCATGTCATTAAAAAGAGTGGAAAAATCATAGTATGTGTAGATTATAGGGATCTGAATTGAGCAAGCCCAAAGGATAATTTCCCCCTACCACACATTGACACGTTAGTGATCACACCGCTACGAACATGCTCTATTCTTTCATGAACGGATATGCGGGGTATAATCAAATTAAGTTTGTCGTCAAAGATAGAGAGAAGACATCCTTCATCACACCATGGGGAACGTTTTGCTACAGAGTGATGCCTTTTGGGCTCAAAAACGTAGGGGTTACTTATCAGAGGGCTATGGTAACATTATTCCATGACATGATCCACAAAGAGATAGAAGTATACATAGACGATATGCTTGCCAAATCTAGGAACGAGATTGACCATATTTAGTATCTCAAAAAGTTGTTTGATCGACTTTGAAAATATCAACTTAAACTAAATCCGACAAAGTGTACTTTTGGAGTGTGGTCAGGTAAACTTCTGGGGTTCATCGTTAGTCAAAGGGGAATCGAGGTAGACCCCAATAAAATAAAGGTGATTCTGGAAATTCCCTCACCAAGGACAAAAGGGGAGGTCAGAGGATTTTTGGGTCGAATAAACTATATTTCCATATTCATCACACAGCTGACAGACAAATGTATACCCATTTTCAAGTTGTTGCGTAAGAATCAACCAACGGTGTGGAACGAGGAATGTCAACAAGCATTCGACAAGATCAAGATGTGCTTAATCAATCCACCGATATTGGTGCCACCCATCGAAGGAAAACCTCTGATCCTATATTTTTTAGTACTCGAAGAATCCATGGGATGCGTGCTCGGTCAACAAGATAAAATAGGAAAAAAGGAGCGAGTCATATATTATCTCAGCAAAAAATTCTTAGACTATGAGACCCATTATATGCCATTCCAAAAAACATGTTGTGCCCTAATGTGGGCAACTCAACATCTCCGACAGTACATGGCTCGACATACAACATGGTTGGTCTCCAAAATGGACTCAATCAAGTACTTATTCGAAAAGCCCATCTTGATCGGCAAGTACTCCTCTCAGAATTTGATATCATCCATGTCACCCCAAAAACTATCAAAGGTAGTCCCCTAGCGAACTATCTAGCATACGGATCGACAAACGAGTACCAATCCCTACAAGACGAATTTCCCGACGAGCATATCATGCATATTGAACACGAAGAGACCAAAGAAGAAGTATGAACTATGTTTTTCTATGGAGCCTCGAACATGCTCGGACACAGGATTGGGGTCATTCTGATATCCCCAGAAAAGAATTATATCCCGATAACGACCAGGTTAAACTTTGAATGTACAAATAATATGGTCGAATACGAAGTTTGTGCCTTGGGAGTCCAAGCAGCTCTAGATCATGGGGTGGCCAAACTCAGAGTTTTCGGTGATTCATCCCTTGTTATCTATCAACTCAAGGGTGAATGGGAAACCTAAAATTCCAAATTAATCTCATATCTAGAGTACATTCGCGATTCGACTTCGAGGCTAGAAAGCGTCACTTTTGAGTACATCCCTCAGGAAGACAATCAATTTGCAGACACCCTTGCTACTTTATCATCCATGTTCTCTTTAGATCAAGAGCATGAGATGCCGACTATTCAAATCAAGCTGCATGACAAACAAGCTTTTTGCATGACAGTAAATAGCGGGCAAGACAAAAACCCTTGGTATCACGACATTAAGCGATACCTCACGAAGGGTGAATATCCCGAAGGAATAGTGATAATGACAAAAGGATCATCCGAAAGAGGGCCGCAGGGTTTGCCTTGACCGGAGAAACCCTTTAACAGAAACAACCACCACTCATCTTGGGTTGGTCCATCCCCCAAGTAGCATGCCACTCCTCCATCCTCACCCCCACTTCTTCTCTTCTCCTTTATTTCCTTTTCTACTTATTATTTTATTATATTTCGTACAACCCTTGTTTGTTACTGTTTTTGTGCTTTATTCATCTCATCTCCTCTCTTGAATCCTTGGAAGTGCACATTCACACTTAGGTAAGTGATTATCTTCGTGTCCAGTGGAAATCTTTCTTGGGTTTTCGCATCTAAATATAATCTAACACCTTATTTTCTTAACTTAAAAATTACATTCATATCATTTTACCTCAGTAGAACCCTTCTACATTATGGTAAAAGTGTGCCATATTTCTTTAGCTCTCTTCAATACCTGGACCTTCCTGTACTCTTCCTTAGATAAAGCACACATTAAGGGGTTTGTGGGCTTAGTGTTGAGCATATATCTTTGTTTTTTCCTCTTTTTATTCAAAGGATTTTGTGTAGTGGATTTGTTAACCTTTCTAGGGGATGTAGTTGCATTCTCTAGTAAGGTGACATGATTCAAAAAGACAATCACTATAAAAAAAATAGTTTTTAATGATATCATTTAACATCAGTTATAAAGGGATCAATGTAGAAAAAGAGACGGTGACAAATTTGTAATTTAGGACAAATTTTCTACATTGGTTGTACTATAATCGATGTTGAAAGTCACATTTAACATTGGTTCTATTGTAATCCAACCGATGTAGAAAGTCCTTTATAACTTTTTGAAACACTTCTCCCCTTCTATGAAACAAATCTTTTTTTTCTCTTCAACATCCTAAACCTTAAATATTTGTCTCCCTACAAAATTATTCTTCTCCTTCTTTTTCATCCTTGCCTTTCGTCACACCTATAACCTCCATCACACCCTCACCCTCCATCACTCCCTCTGTCGCACTCTCAACCTCCATCACGCCTTTCACCATGCCCTCTACCGCATCTCCATGTTGTCCTTAACAACATCTCCATTGTGATCTCCATTACATCCTCACGTCCTTTGTCTTGTTCATCGCGCCTTCCATCGGTCTCCTTGATGTCTTCTGTTGCATCCTCACGACCTCCATCATGTCCTTCATTGCGCCCTCATGGGCTTTGTCGTATCCTCACACCCTTTGTTGTGTCCTTGTGTCCCCCATTGCATCCTTCGTCGTGTCCTTTGTCATGTCCTCACAACCTCCATTACATCCTCTTCCATGTCCTTCATTGTGTTCTCTTGCCCTTTGTTGCATTGTCTACCACACCCACATGCCCTCGCGCTTTGTCGTTGTCGCATACTCACCCTCTTTTATCCTATCTTATGTTATCGTTATCCATCATTGTCTCATGCTTTATTGTACTCTCATCGACCATCACAGTCTACACTGTCGTCCCTTGTGTTGTTATCTAATTATTATAGTTGTTATTTACTTATTTATTTGTGAGTTATTAAAATTTTAAATTATGTATTATTTGAGACTATTTTATCATTATTTGGAATTGTTTAATATTTGTTTGACAATTTTTATGCTTGTTTTTGAATTAATTTTATTTACAAGTGGAAAATGTCACAAAATAACAAGCATTTTAAGAAGATAAAAATCAACTTTTTACATCGATTAATACAAGTGATGGTCGAATAAGTCAGATGAATATTTATTATGGTGTTAGATACTCATTAATTGTGATTATTATCTTTAATTATTTGTTTATTATTCCACCTAATTGTTGATTATTCTATTTCTTGATTTTAGCTACTATTACCTTATTTCCAACTTTCCATTCTTAAATCTCATGTATATATGTAACTCTTGGTTGACTCCTCAAATGAATAAGATAAATTTTCCCTTTTTACTTTAACATTCAATTGTCAGATTATTGTGGTATCAAAACTCTCTTAGAGAGAGCTCTCTTGCGCACGTCAATGGCTAATAAAGCCACCTAACCCTATATTGTGCAAGATGCATAAAATGCATCGAATCCCTTATACATCCATCCAAATGACAACCCCTCCACTATCCTTGTTTCACCTCTACTCACAGACGGGAATTATCACAACTAGGCTTGTGTGATGAAGATGAGTTTGTTAACAAAAAACACATTAAGGTTCGTTGGTGGCACAATTGTAGAACCACCAAAGAGTCATGTAATTTTTCCATTTTGGGAACGAGGCAACATGCTTGTTCTTAGCAAGTTGATAAAATCTATGAGCTTGGAAATTGCATAATCCATTCTCTAGCATGAGAGAAGGCATCCAATGTATGGAAGGAGCTCCGTGAACGTTTTTCCAATGTCGATATGTTCCAAATCTCAAAAATTCAAGAGGAAGTCTTTAGCCAGAAACAAGGTGATAACTTTGTCTCATAGTTTAACACTACACTAAAAACTCTATAGGATGAATTAGATGTTTTAAATCCCCTTCCTGTTTATACATGCAACTCTAAATGTTCATGTGGTGCAATCAAGAAAATTGAAAAGGGCAAAATAAGAATCAAGTGGTTAGACTCTTGCGAGGGTTGAATGACTAATATTCAGGTCTTAGATCACAACTAATGCTTGTAGACAGTCTTCCAATGTGAATTGGTTTTTTGCATTTATTGATCAACAAGAACGGTAGTTTGCCACCAAGGATGCTTTTCTGCCAAAGGCTCTCATTGCGACTAGTATGAGGCATCAAATTCTAAGAGAAATCAAGGGAATTGTAATTGGTGGAACAACAAACACACCTCTAAAAAAATGTTTGTGGTGTGAAAAATTGGGTCACATAGTTGAGATTTGTTATAGGAAACATGGTTTTCCTGTTGGCTTCAAGTTCAAACATTCTAAAAGTACTACCTAAAGAACTGCAAATGTGGTGATGACTGAAGAAAATGAGACCAATTGTCCAGAAGATTCATCAAGAAAGGATACTAATGTGAAGTTTGGTTTTAGTGCATACTAATATTATAGTTTATTATCTCTACTATCACAGAAAGATCAAAGGGACTCCACACAACATATTGCTCATGTCTCTTGTAATAACTCGACTTCAACAAACAATGGTAATGTACTTATCTCTAAATGGATCTTGAACATTGGTGCACAAACCATATCTCAAATTCTTAGTTATTTTTCTGCTTACAAGCACATTCCACCTACCAAGGTGTCACTACCCAATGGAATCTTAAATTTAGCCATTATTTCGGGCACAAATTATCTTTCACCTAGTTTTGATTTTATTGATGTCTTATTTATACAAAGCTTCAAATTCAACTTGATATCAATTACAAAATTAACCCAAACTTTTCATTATAAACTTATCTTCTTTGATAACACTTGCTTGATACATGATTTCAATGCTTACAAGATGATTGACACAATTAAAGTAGATAGAGGTCTATACATTTTCACAGAAACAGTTGAGTCTCCTCAATCCTCTATTATCCACAAAAAACTCTCTAACTTTGTTGACAACACCATTATAGGAAATTTTCCTTATAATTTTCCTTCTAGTTTACACAATTTGTGGCACTATAGGTTGAGTCATCCATCTTTTGATAGAAGTCAAATGATCATTAAAATGTTTCTTTTCATTCATTGTAATAAAAACCATACCTATGATACATGTCACATTGTTAAACAAAGAAAGTTAAGTCTTCCATTAAGTTCTTCCTTCATCATTGCAATATTTGAGTTATTACATGTCGATATTTGGAGTCCAATTTTGGTAATGTCCTTACATGATCACTCTTATTTCCTTACAATAGTGGATGACTATTCTAGACACACTTGAATTTATCTTCTAAAGAATAAGGTAAAAGTTAAACCTTTATTCAAGCCTTTTGAGCATTGGTAGAAAACCAATTTCAAACCACAGTTAAAACCATTAGAACTAATAATGGTAGGGAGTTTAAACTTGACCAATTTTATATTACAAAAGGCATAGTTCATCAAACAAGTTGTGTAGAAACTCCTCAACAAAACTCCATAGTAGAGAGAAAACATCAGCATATTCTTAATGTTACTAGAGCCTTATTATTTCAAGTTAATCTTCCCAAAATATTTTGATCTTATGCAGTCATGCACTCAGTTTATCTCATGAACAGAATCTCTACAACAGTATTGGATGACAAGTGTCCTTATTAGCTCCTATATAAATGTCTTCCTAACCTGACTCATAACTTTCTTAACTTCCTACATCAATTTTCTTAACTTTCAACGATGATTCAAAACTTGATGTTGTATACCATGTAGAATTGGTGTTAACTGTTGTTATTGTAACAGTGAATTGTTTATAGCATTTGAACTTCTTACCTTTAAGCAGAGTTGCTATGTTAACTACATTCCCTTCTTCTTTTTCATTGATTCAATATAATTTTTCTCTTTTTTTCCTATAAAGAACTAACCTTAAGAGATTAGTTATGATACCAAGTGAAATTACAAGTTAGTTATAGAAAGTTCAAGCATAGAAATTATGTCACATATGTTGTAGCATATATTTTTATATTGATTTCATTCTTCGTTTTCTATGAAACATCTCTATTTTGAATGAAAAGTTTTATTCTGAAACATAAAATTGTTGTTTGATCCACTAGTGGAAAGAAAAAACTTTCTGTGACAGTTATTTTAGACTTTCTATGTCGGTTGTATAATCGACATAAATTCAGGCAACATAAAAAATATAACTTTTTATGTCGGTTTTTAACATAATTGTCATAAAAAAATCTTGTGTTAAATATTTTTTATATAGTCATATTTCTCACAAACATTTTATCAAACAGTTTTAATGCAACAAATTTCGAAAATTAAGCACAAGCATTATTCACGTACGAAAACACAATTAAACATAAAATGGAAATATATTTACTTAAATTGGATGAAAAAATATTCATAAAAAAATTCATAATAATAATTGCAATATAACATATTAGATAAAAAATGAGATAATATTTTCATATTTTATCTTTGTTGTAAATGAGGAAGAAACAAGATTGTGGGAAGTGGTGGTTTAAGCATGAGGAAAACAAAAGTAAATGAATTTAATGAGGAGATAATGAAACAAAAGAAAGAAGTTGAGTAGAGTTCTTCGTATAAGGAAAAAAATGGAAAATGAGAAAAATGAAGAAGATAAAACGAAATTGAACATTTTAAATCTTAGCACTTTTCATGATAGCTCAAATTGAACTATCATAATAAGAACTTTTTATATCGGTTCAATTTTGAACCGTCATAGTAAGTACTTACTATGACCATTTAATTTTAACCGACATAGAAAATGTCTCATATTTAAAATTGACAAAGTTACTTTCTATATCGGTTCAAAGTTGAATCATCATAATAAGTGTTTACTATAATGGTTCATAATTGAACCGACATAAAAAGTGTATAAATTTACAATTTATAAAGTACTTACTATGACGGTTCAAAATTGAACTGATATAAAATTTACTTACTGTAACGATTTAATTTTGAACTGACATAAAAAATAAGTTTTAATTACAAAATTACCATCATCAAATCTATTATGACGGGTGAATTAGAATTGTTATAATAAGTCATCATAAAATATTATTTTTGTAATAGTGATCTAAGTTGTGTGATTTCTAATACTATCCTTTGAACATTTTAGAATGTGAAACAACTTTGTGCATTTGTTGGAACATATATGATGAAGAATGTCTCTGACCATTTTACTTTTTGTCTATACAATTATTCTAAAGAGAAAGTTAACTTTAAATGTGTATATCATTTTTAGAGTTTGTATTGATTTGATATACAATGAAGAGGGTAAAATATCAATTGATATATCAAAGACAAACTTATGTAGGCATAAGTTCTACACGAGCTAATGTAGTCTTGTTAACATTCTAATGTGATCTAGTGACATGATACAATTTGAAATTATCATACAAGTTATGTTACATCTTATAAAACGCTTTGGAATGTGGAATGTTATATGTTGGTTTTTTGACGAGTTGATGATTAATAAATTGATACATGTTTTGATATTTTAAATAGTATAATTTTTATCTTACTTTAGCATTATGAGCATTAAGTTATATAAAATTTAATTATATTTATTAAAATATGAATTTAACGTCATTTATCTGAATTCAATAGTTAATAATTTAGTACTTGTGGACATCACACTCAACTCCACCTTTCTCTATTCTTGTAGTTAAAATCAACAAATTTGTTATTTAATTAAAAATTTAGATTTTCTTGTAGGAGTCATATTCCATTAACTAGTAACAATTCAAAATGAAGTCGTTAAACAACCCCACAATTATATTCGTTTCTACCTTTTTGGTAAAATAACTATAATCGTTTTAAGGTCATTGATAACTTAAGAAAATTATTTTCTTTTTAATATAGAAAGGTTAATATTTGAAGTGTATAACACAATTAGTTAATTGTTTAGTCTAAATTGAAAAAAATAATGTGATTTACATTAGAAACTAAAATTAGAGTAAATAATTAAGTTTAGTCAATAAGATGAAATAACTTGAAATTTCATATCTAATTTTTTGGATTTCTTTTATAATTTTAAAGGCAAATTTAATAATGCTTTAAAGCTTTTAAAAACTAAATCACTTCTTAACCATCTTTATATATTTTTTAAGAGTTTTTCTCTCTTTTTTTTTTAAATAAAACTTTATCTTACTTAATCCTTTTTCTAGAGGCCAATTTTCTTGAAAAATGAAGGTGATAATCCCTCAAAATTATATAATTTTTATATAAATTTTTTATTTGGTCACTTAAAATTTAATGATGATTAAATATATTTATTTTTATATAATTTTGTTTTATCTTTTTTTATTTATTTTTATCTTTTCATATTTATTTATTATTTATTAATAATATATTATTTATTCTAAACTCACTAATTAAGATCCGTGCCTTTCTCTAATTATTTGAAGTTGCCAAACTCAAAATGACAATTTAATAAGCATTGAAGTTCAACCTTCTTCCACGATCTCACACATGTTTTTCTTACAGTTGTTGGTGGGTAGTAAATTCCAGACAACTATCATTGCATATAGTCCACATGAAGGTTTCGGCAAAGCAAAATCCTAAATGGCCCAGGATCCATTGTTCGACAGAAATTAAGGGGCATTTGAGTTTACGAGAATATTTGTACTTTCTTTATTGATTTGAAAACGTCAACAAATATTATTATTAGATTATTAAAAGATTTCACAATATTATATTTGTACCTTTTTAAATAAATTTGTTATATATTCCATTTTGAGATAGCACACATTTATGTCCAAATAAAAAATATTATTGGGGCACAAGAAACGAAAAACCTAATATGCATAGGAACATGATCCATGATTAAGAAAAATATATATATAAAGAAAGCAAATAATATTCGTTAATAATTATTGTTGTCACAAGTTACAATGCATTCAAACTCTCGCTTAAAATTCGTCGTTGAATTGAAACTGTAAAACCGAAGAGATAATAGAATTATGGACAAATGTTTTGGATTAATTAATTATCTTGGTCTCTAAGACTATGAAGAAAGAGAGAAATTCATTGAGTTCTATTTGTCAGAAAATGGTGTAGTTCAATGCTTAGAAGCCCGCTTCCACCGTTAGACCCTATTCACGCGCTCTCTTCTTTCATTGCTTTCCTATTCTACACACAATGACACAGAAAAAACATAGGTGATTTTCCTGTCAACAACCACATCTACAACACTACTGCAACATCTTTCTTTTCTTCTTGTAGTCGCTATGTTGAAATACTAAGCTACGTGGATATCCTTGTTTCTCATTTCAATTGGGTTTCAATAATTGGCACAATGTTTATCTATGCAGATAGTAATCACTCATCGCATCTGTGGTTGGTAATTTCATTGAATGGTAAATTGTGCTATTAATGTCGAGGTTCATGTGGAATTGTTGTGTATTATCATACCCTTGTTTGCCTTTGTAGTTTGAACAATTTCTCTCAAGCCATTGCAAATTTGATCATGGTTATGATTGTGTTAAAAAGAGGAGTGCAGAGTGGTGTGAAGTGTTGAAATAGTGGTTGGAGTACTATAACAATGGCTGAGAGAAATGGGCCCTCTTTCTTCAAGGTTGTTTGTAGAAAGTCATTGTTTTCCTTCTTCACAATCACAACGGTTCTGTTCATCATGTCCTGGTTCTTTGTTCTGCGATCCGCGGATCGTCCTCAATTCATTGACAACAATATGTTAGCCAATTCAAAGCTTTTCTCTACCTTGGATGATTCAAAGTCTCAGATGCTGAAGCAAAATGTTGAATCCTCATTTGGGAACCGAGAAGTCCTAGATAGTGAAGATGCAGAACAGGCCAGGAAGACAAAAACTCCTAATGCGAAGGAAAAAGTCGTGAAATTTGATGGAAGGAAATGCCACCAAAATGATGAACTTGTTATCAAGGTTTACATGTATGATTTACCACCGGAGTTCCATTTTGGACTCTTGAATTGGAAACCAAGTGGGAATAGTGTCTGGCCTGATGTTAGAAAGGATATACCTGGTTACCCTGGGGGCTTGAATTTGCAACATAGTATCGAGTTTTGGCTTACATTGGATATTCTTGCATCAGAATTTCCTCGGGCCTCTAAGGCTAAGACTGTAATCCGAGTCCAAAACTCTAGTGATGCTGATATTATATTCGTGCCATTCTTTTCATCTTTAAGCTATAATCGCTACTCCAAGCGTAAGCCGAATGAAAAGAAGAACGGGAACAAGATACTGCAGGAAAAGTTAGTGAAGTATTTGACAGCTCAAGATGAATGGAAGAGATCAGGGGGGAAGGACCATTTGATTTTAGCACACCATCCCAACAGTATGTTAGATGCAAGAATGAAGTTGTGGCCTGCTGCATTCATTCTTTCAGACTTTGGGAGATATCCTCCGGTTATAGCCAATGTTGAAAAGGATGTAATAGCACCTTACAAACATTTAATCACTTCCTATGTCGATGACAACTCCACCTTTGATAGCCGTCCAACATTGCTGTATTTTCAAGGAGCAATATATAGAAAAGATGTATGGCCTTCTTGCTCTTTCATATATTGGTTGCTCAGGCTTTTTTATGCTTTTCATAAAAGATAATTTTGCATTGACATCAACAATTCATGTAAGTTAGAGAACAATTTTCTATTTTAGTTAAGCAATGTTTAAGGGGGCTAATGGATAGGAATCTTAGATGATTTTGGATCCTTTCAGCAGTGTCTGCTACATCTTTTATGAGTCATCTAAATAATGAAGGAAGCTGAGGTTAGCTAAATTAGAGAGCCTTTATGCGGTTAGATGATTCTAAATTGGTGAAATTTGAACCCCTTGAGTTGTTGTGTACACTGGTTAGTTCAATACCAAGTTCTTGTCACGCAGTATGTTTTAGTCACATGTTTGTTTGCCTTCTTAATGCTTCCAAAGTATCTGCTAGTAATCATATTTGTGTTTAACTAAGTTTACCACAATAAGATGGAACTTTTCTTAAGAATGCCTCTCTCCCTGCGAATAATGCACTTTACTGTGTACATGCTAGTTTGATGCATATCAATTTCAAGAGGAGCAGATTCCGTTGTCTGAAAAAAAGAAGTAATTTTTGGCCATTTTAGTTACATAGTGATACGGAATTGCTTGATCAAGTGAACTGTCTGAAAGAGTTAAAAGAGGGAGAGTTGTGAAGTGCTCCTTTCATTAACATATACAAAATCATATAATTTAGAAGCTAGAAAATGGAAGAACTTTTGGATTCATGTTTATGAATGCTCTGAGTCCATCTTATTGATAGGCCAATCTAAATTCCAATCCCATGGCATCTCTTGTGTGCTGATAAAAATATACAGAATCTTGTGTAGATACAGTTCATTGTATGGAAAGAACACTTTTCAAACCATGTGTGATGAAAGAAGTTCAACATTTTGTAAATTCAGTCATTCCTTCTCTTGAATATCTAGTGATTCTAGTTATCTTGAATATCTTTTCCTCATGATCAGGGAGGTTTAGCACGACAAGAGCTATTCTATCTTCTGAAAAATGAGAAGGATGTACATTTTTCCTTTGGAAGTATTCAAAAAGATGGAATTAAGAAAGCAACAGAAGGCATGCGTGCTTCCAAGTTCTGCCTCAACATAGCTGGTGACACCCCTTCATCAAACCGCTTGTTTGATGCCATTGCTAGTCACTGTGTCCCTGTCATCATCAGTGATGCAATTGAGCTACCATATGAAGATGTGATTGATTACTCAGAGTTCTGCATATTTGTCCGCACTATGGATGCCATCAAACAAAATTTTCTAATAAACTTCATCCGGGGTATTGGCAAAGCAGAGTGGACCCGAATGTGGAACAAGTTGAAAGAAGTTGAACATTTCTTCGAATTTCACTTCCCTTCTGAGGAAAATGATGCAGTCCAAATGATTTGGCAGGCTGTGGCACGTAAGGTTCCTGCCATGAGATTAAAGCTAAATAGGTATGGGAGGTTTTCTAGGTCCCCTCCAAGTGCAGAGAAAGGACTAAAATCAATACCAGCACCAAGGAATTTTTGGTGAAAAGTAATTGATCAGGACATAAAAAATGCCATAGTTCTATTTACCTTAAGAATTTTGACAACTCTTCTTATCTTGACATTGACATGTATCATTTTTTTCTTATTATACAGTTCTCACTTCTGATTTTGACACTGACGGTATTGAATTGCTCAGTATTTCTTCGGTTTGTCTCGCTATCAGGTTTTTATTGTCATTTTCCTCCATTGATACAATTTCTCAAGACTTTCAACAAAATTGAATTGACTTCGTCACTCCTCTTTTAAGTCTCCACAGTTGAGTGGGTGACATAGTCATACAAATTAAATGGACCGACATGTATATCAGCACGTGAAAACATGTGAGTGACAGTAAGATGAATGCTAACTAACTGTACTATTTAACTGTATAAGCTTTATGTGATTCTACTGAACATTTTCTACCATCGAAATGGTGGGTAATCGAATTCAAGTGAGAGAAAAACCAGTAAATGTTTCCCAATGCTTCATAAATCAATAACAAAAATGAATTTTCCACTATATTCAATGCAAAACTTTAAATTTAGATCTGGGAGTTTCTTTCATTTTTACTTTTATATGATATGAAACTTGGTATTCACATTTTTACTTCTGCTATCTTTCCCCTCAGATTCTCAACCAAAGTAGAGGTAGTAAAATCAAAGGAATATGGAATATCTTAATCACTGATAATGTGGAAACTTGAAAGAAAAGAACAAAAATAAAGACCAAATGACCGATTGTTAGAACATTGCATGTGAAACAAGATATAAGCCTGAAAAGAAAATGACTATTATACCGACAATGAATTAGACTTGATAAGATGAAGCTACAATAGCATGTAGAAAGAAAAGAAAGCTTTCTAATTAGAAATGGATAAGAAAATTATTCTCGTTTATATATTATAATATTATCTATTAATATTAAATTTTATCATAAGAGGATTAATTAAAATTATTTTCAAAATATATTTAACTCAATATGGTAATAAAAATTATATTTATTTATATATTATAATATCATAATATATTTAATTTATGTCTTTTTTTATCGATTATAAATTATAAATAAATAAAAGCATATTCATTACTAAATTCTTTATTTAACTAATTATTTCTTAAAATGATTTTTCTTATACTTTGTGTTTTATATTTTTTAGTTTAACTTAAAATATGAATTTATTTGTAATATAATTACAATAAATAAATTAAGTGTATAAAAAATTAAAAAAATATTTTAAAAAAATTAAAAAATATATAAACAATATTTTTGAATCTGTGCCTTCTACTGACCCATCCACATCTCGAGTTTGACAGGAAAAAATTGAGTTTAACTGGGAAAACCAAGTTGACCGGGGTGGGGGTGGGGGTGGGGGCGAGGCGGGGACGATTCGGGTTAATTTTTTTTTCAACCTTTTCAACCAATTTAATGAACACAAAGTTAATTTTTTTTTTTATCTTTTTCTAAATATTTTATATAAATCTTAGTAGTAACTAATATTATTTTATTTATAATTTATATTTATTAGGTTTTATTATGTCATATTTTTTTATCTTATTATTCTTATTTGTCATATATCAAATTTTATCTTAATAAAATAATTGTATTTTAAAGGATTAAAAATAATTAATAATTTAAACTTTTATTACTTCAAACTAATTCAATAAGAATTAACTTATCAAATATTTCCTTATAAACTATATAATTCATAGTTTTAAATGACAACTTAAAAATGAATTAATTTATATATGTAATCAAATGTTTAAATACAATATAATAATAATAATATTATAAGTATTCAAATGTTTGAATACAAGTATTATAATAATAATAATGTTATAAATTATATATATATATATATATATATATATATATATATATATATAATGATTAAATATTTTTTTACATACATATTTTAATATAAATATAATAAATTAAAATATATATTTAATTAATATTAATTATAAATTATAAATTATAAAATTATAAATATTTATTTATATATAAAAGATACATAGTAAAATTAATTTATTATAAATATAATTATCTTTTTAAAAATAATATAGATCGGAGCGGAGAAACCCGAAACCCAACGAAACGAGAATGAAGACTTCATTTCTAACCTCAGCGGGATCAAGGATGGGGGCGGGACGGGACGGGGACGGTTAAAAAGTCGGGATCGAGGAGGCAAAACTCGCCCGTCCGTTGTCATGCCTTGTAAAGGAATACTCCTAAATCAAGAATTTTCACAATTGAAGATCAAACAACATTAATAAGTAACAAAAGGTCTTTATTAATGATTTAAGAGCATCCATTTTAAATCATAATCATCTTAACCTTGTACAAAAGAGTATAACAATTTTGGTAAGTAATGCAACATTGACAATGCGTTAAGCATGAAGTTAAGTATCTCCTAAGTGAATAAATATTTTATTATATATTAACTTTTTCACATAACTTTCTAAGATTCTAAAAGTGTGATCATGCTAATAAAGAAAAATACTTTAAGGCTTATGCTACACACCCAAGTGGACTTTCTTAGGAACTAAGGAGGTCGTGGATCTTTCCAAAATTTTGTAACTCTCATATAATTTATGAGTTGTGGTCTCTCAAACTTATCATTTAATATATTTACTTATATATTTATAATTTTATCCTCTCAGTCTCCTCTTAGTTTTGTAACACTCAAATTTATGATTTTGTCCCTCCAAACTTAATAATCATTTAATATATTTACTTATTTATTTATAATTTTATTTTCTCACTTTTTCATCTTTTTTCACCCTTTTATATTTATTTATTATTTATTAATAATATATTATTTAACTCCAAAATCAATGGTTAAGATCCGTCACCGGACACACTTATACAAAAGAGATATGAACAATATGTAAAATTAGGTTTCATTATCTTTATATCTTCAAGCCTTAAGTATTCATGTATGTCTTGCTACATTATATTCTTCACAAAGAGAAATAAGAAGAATAATCATGAAAATGATGAATAAGAAGAAATATATAAACCTAATACTACTTTATAAGAATAAAGGAAGGTGTCATAAGACTTAATTTTACTTTGTACATTGGTTACTCATTGAACAATGTCAAAAGTAAAATTATATTTACAAAAGTGTCATCACCTTATTTTTATTTTTATTTTACATTGCTTTCTCTAGAATGGATGTCAAATTTTGTTGACATTTCTACATTATACGTTATCCAAACTCTTCTTTCTTCGTGTGATTTTCTTATCTCCTTTTGTTCATCTCTTCCTTTCTTATCTCCTTTTGTTCATCTCTTCCTCGGCATTACAGTGAAACAGTACCACTACTTGTTCTTCTCCAACGACGCAAGTCATTCTCCTCCACTAGCCCCTTTTATAAACTCTTTTCTCTATCTGCATGCTCTTCTCTTCCATTAACTCCTCTTAGACACCTTGAACAAAGTGTATCCATACTTCTTAGATAATTACTCAATGGTGGATCTTAATCATATTAAGAAAATTAAATAATATATTATTAATAAATAGTAAATGAATATGAAAACTTCAAATAATATAAAAAGTTAAGAGGTGAAATTTATAAATATATAAATAAATATATATTTAATAATTATTAATTTTAGGAGTTAAAATTATAAATACTAATATAAATTATAAAATTTTGAGGAGTCCACCTCACCTCTTAAGAAACTTCATCATTACTATAATCATTGTTATCGTGTAACATAGTCACTTTTTTTTGCCTTGCAGATTCACACTTCTCTACCATCTTAGAAATTTTAATTTTTTTTATATATAGTTTAGAGAATAGGAATATATATATATATATATATATATATATATATATATATATTAAATATAGGAAAAAAATTATTTATTTGAAAGTTAGATAAATAAAAATTTTATTATAATTATAGGTGGTGAAATAAAATATTTAAATAGTATATAATATATTAATTGTACGTGAAAACAATGTAAAAATATATATATAATAGAGTCATTAAGACCAAAACTTATGATTTTTTATTTTTCTTAAAACTAATTTTTCTATTATAGTTGCAGAGACAACGCATATAAAGAGGTCTTTAAACTACATAGTGAAACACCCTGATGTTAAAATCTACCATTTTTTTAATTGATGTAAAATATCTAAAATAACTTATATAAATCTCATTTTCTACTAATTAAACTAGACATTTAGTGTTAAGTTATTAACATCTTTTTCCTAAGAACGTATCCTATAAACACAATCTATAATTATTCTTCTAATATGTTGCGTTATTTTTAAGACTAAACGGTTAAGACCATGACATGATAAAACTACTTAACAACTATAAAAAAAAAAAATGCTTGTCATTCTTGAAAAATCATGTTGATGTATAATATTTTAAATAGAGTGGTTTGCAAGCTTTTTGGAAGAAATATCAACCTCATTTCAAAGGAGGCTTTGATACTATGGTCAACTTTGATTAATAAACATTATTATAGAATATGTTTTCTATGTCATCATTTAATGTCGGTTAAAGCTTATCCACATGGAAAGTTTTTTTATTGACACATTTAACGTCGATTCTTATTCTAACCGATGTAAAAAGTGTTTTTTTTCAGCCAAAAATTCGTTTATTCGAACTCAGTACCTTAGAGTTGAAAGTTGATACTCCAACTACTAAACTACTAGAATTTTCTAATAATAACTTACAAATAAATTATATTTATATACAAATAAATATATATCTGTGTAAATATATAAATATAAAATATATAAATACAAATATATTTATATATATATATATATATATATATATATATATATATATATATATATATGTGTGTGTGTGTGTGTGTGTGTGTTGGATGTGAGGGCGTGCTCGAAGGTAAAAGTGAGATTGACTCTCGCTTGAGCGAAAATACGTTAAAGCTCACGAAAATTTACTCGCTCAAATGAAAATATCTCGCTTGAATGAAAATTGGTATTTTTCGCTTGAGCAAATGACGCGTTTCCCAAAT